TCTCTTTCGGTATCAATTATAAATCAATAATTTCCGAGAAAATAAGATTTTTATATTTTTTAGACTTGTATTAGGACTGAAATTCTCCTACTATATAAAGGGAAAGTTTTTCTTTTGTTTGTGACACATGGTAATACGCATTTCAAAGCAATAAAAGTCTTGTCTTCTAGCTATCATTAAAGGTATTATTTGTTCGTTCTTTTCCTCGATCGTGATCGAGCTCGTACCGAGGGTCTAATCGGGGATGAGTTCCACTACTCCACATCAAGATCAGGCTTGGTCACTACATTGCGATTGGTTTGATAGTTTATCTATTATTCTTATTTATTCGTATTGAATTAAACCACATATCCTTTAAACTGCGTACAAGTTTAATTGTTACTCAATTTTGGGGTAAACAACTTTTCCAAAAGCACTTTTGAAAAAAAAATACTTTTTAAAATAAGCTGATTTTTCTAGCCTGGCCAAACATGCTATAAGTCTTGTTAATTAAGTGGACTAACATATATCTGCAGAAGTACGGTATTTGTTGACATACTAAGACTGTCACGACCCAATTTCTCCAATAGGCCGTGATTGCGCTCAACGTTACCGCTAGGCAAGCCAACAAAGAACTAACTCTGTGATCTTTTCTTTTAGAAATTTTAAATAGTTGATTATTAATTATTCCGAAATCAAGAAGTGAATAAGTTAGTAAAATGAGAAAGTAAATTTTTTTAAAAGCAATGGAATGAAGTAGTTACTCAAAAATCAACAAGTGTCTACTAGCATAAATCTCCAAGACCTGGTGTCACAAGTGTATGAGCTACTAGTAGAATATACAAAAGAGTATTACACTACTGGCTAAAGTGAAATAGACAGAAAATAAAGCAAAAGAAAGACTTAGCCTGCTGCAGAACGGGCTCGGAAGGCAGCTCACCGCAGAGTCTCGTGGAATCAAGGATGCGCGCCGGACTGATATCCAGATGCACCTGCCTCAGATCCTGCACATTTAATGCGGAAGTTTAGCGTGAGTACATAAACAACATGTACCCAGTAAGTATCCAATCTAACCTCGAAGAACTAGTGACAAGGGGTTGACTCCGACACTTACTATGAGCTAACAATAAAGTAATGGAATTATAACTAAGCATGGACTATATAAATATAACTGAAAACTCAATAACAAGAATAAATGAACAATTCTTTCATTAAGATTAAGTCCCAAATTAATTCCCACCGTTTAACGAATTAATCTCTCAAGCCAATGAAAACAATATTAATTATAATTGGGCTCCAAGAATTTATTACGCACGATTTATGCCGAGGTCGTACGGCCCGATCCAACATACAAATATATAAACTGTGCACTGTCGAGGGTCGAACGACACAAATTATAGATGCATCTATTCTATTACCGAGGCGTTCAGTCCGCTCCACAAGAAGAGAAAATACTTTGTAAATAACCGAATCAAAGATTATTAAGAGGCTAATATTCAAGGAAACATCAATTCTCATTAACGGTCAAGTAACCCGTCCAAAACTCAAGTAAATGAAATTCGACCTTTTACAATTCCTTTATCAAGTTCCGATATGATTTAAGCATTTAAATTAGCAAGTATGGTGCAAATACCGCAAGTATCACATGTTTTGGGTCCTAAAGTACTCGGGCATAAGTATAAATAATAGCTACGTACGGACTCTCGTCACCTCGTCGGCATGTAGCCCCCACAAATAGGAGTACATATTAAATCAATTCATCTATGGGGTTAATTCCCTCTTACAATGTTAGAAAAGAGACTTACCTCGTCTCAAGCTTACTTTTCGGTCCAAAATCATGCTTTAAACCCTCAATTCGGTGCCAAACGACTTGAAACTAGTCAAATATTATATAAAATAGTCAATGCATGTTCACAAGTTCATATCCCAACTATTAAAGTGATTATCCAACCCCAATTAAAGAATTCTTAAAATTCACCCCCTGGCCCACGTGCCCGGATTCTGGAAATTTTCGAAGAAATTTTTTACCCATAACCTCATGAACTCAAATATATGATTTTCACCCCATTTCATAATCATTTTCGGGATTAAATCCCATTTTTATCAAAACCCTAGATTTTACTCAAAAATCCCAAAAATCGCACCAGTTTTCATGTTAAATCTACTTATGATTCATGTATTTAGCTAAAGAATCGATAGGGATCACTTACCTCTTGATGTTGAAGGAACCTCTCTAAAAAATGCTCTCAAAATCGTCCAAAGACCAAGTGGAAAATGAGGGAAATAAAGCTAAGTCCGGCATTAAAAGTTGTTGCACAGATTGCAGATGTCGCATTTGCGACACCTGGTTCGCAAATGCAAAAAAATCTTCGCAAATGCGAAGCTGAGTCCCCCGCTGTCAAGGTCGCAAATGCGACAAAAATGTTTGCAAATGCGAAGGGAGGCTCGTCGCAAAAGCGACTGGAAATCTCACAAATGCGAGTCCTGCCTTGGCCGAGCTTCTTCGCAATTGCGAAGCTCACCCTTCTCGCAAATGCGAACCAATTATCGCATTTGCGATACCTGAGACACCAACAAAAAACCCAGAAAAATTGAAGTCTCCTCATCCATCCGAACGCGTCCAAAACTCACCCGAGCCCTCGGGGCTCCACACCAAGCATCCACACAAGTCTAAAAACATCATACGAACTCGCTCGCGCGATTAAAACACCGAAATAACATCTAAAATCACGAACCGGACGCCAAAACGCATGGATTAACTCATGAAACTCAAAAACTTCTAAAAATACTTCCGCATGTCCGATTCCTATCAAATCAACTCGGAATGACGTCAAATTTTTGCGTGCAAGTCATAAACGGCATTACAGAACTATTCCTAGTCTCAGAATCCCAATTGGACCTCGATAACACCAAAACCTACTCCAAACCAAATTTAAAGAACTTTAAAACCTTCAAAGAGCCAACTTTCACTATTAGGCGCCGAAACGCTCTCGGTTCGTCCAAAATCCGATCCGAACATCCGCCCAAGTTCGAAATTATCATACGAACCTATTGGAACCGTCAAATCCCGATTCCGAGGTCGTTTACTCAAAACATTGACCGCAGTCAAGCTTAGCCTTTAAAAGCCCAACCATGGAACCAAGTGTTCCGATTTCAACCCGAACCCTTCCAAATCCCAAACTGACCATCCCCGCAAGTCATAAAATAGTAAAGCACATACGGGAGTCTTGGAACGGGGTTCTAAAAAGCAAAACGACCGGTCGGATCGTTACAAAGGCCAAGCTTTTTTTGGGCTAAAAGTATTTTTTTTTCTCCAAAAATTGAGGTGTTTGGCCAAACTTTTGGAAGGAAAAGAAGTGCTATTGAAGAAAAGTAGAAGCAATTTTGGAGAAGCAGAAAAAAATAGTTTCTCTTGAAAAACACTTTTTTGAAAAGTACTTTTGAGAAAAATACACTTAGAAGCAGTTTTTAAAAGCTTGACCAAACACTAATTGTTGTTCAGAAGTGCTTTTCAAATTAATTAGCCAAACACAAACTGCTTCTCCCCAAAAGTACTTTTGAGAAAAACACTTTTGAAAAATAAACACTTATCAAAATAAGCTACTTGGCCAAACATGCTATAAGAGAGGAACATTGAATGATAAAAGAAGCTAAGCTATCATTATGCATCTTACGTGGCATAAATATTTCTTATTCTGGTTGATGTTGTTAAGTTAAAGTAACCTTTCGGAATATATGTTATAGATTTCTCATCTATAATGTCAGAGCTGGAAATTTGCGTTATGGCGGACTGTTGAAAATATTTTTACGGTTGCTATATAAGAGAGACCTTGTTATAAATCTAATTACGGACAATGGTCAACAATTTCTGATTCAAAAACTGTATTTCCCTCCTAGTGAATGGTAATAATGAGGGTGATCATACAGTAAAACTTTAATTGAAGACTTCCATCCACTATTTTTTCCGAGGGATTGCGCCTGAAGCCCTTCAGAAAGAAGAACCTCCTAATGACAACCGAATTCTGAACTCTTCAAATTAAAGTCTACAAGTTTCTTCATATCTATTTGTTGAAATAAAGTCTCGGTTTTCTTTATTATTGCTGTTAATATTAATAGCATCAAAGCCTTGTTGGAAGGAGTCGCAGTTTTCTATTTTTATAATTATCCAAGTCCTTTCATGTTTGCTTTTTTAAATTAAAGATCTCTATTAGTCATTTTAGAATATATTACACGGTATGTCAGATTGTTACACATCTTACTAGTTTTAAGGTCTTGACATTTAAATGTGTGTTAGGTACCTCCGTTCTAGAAGTTTAAGGTCAGAACATTTAAATGTTATTAATAGGTTAAATTGGTTACCTGGCCAAAGTTTAAGCGAGAAAGAAATAGTACGTTAATATAATGCAAAAAAGCACCCAAACTTAAGGCCAGAGCGTCGAAAATTAGTTAAGATGGCTCGATAGCGTAAGCTACAAAGTCGTCTATTTGCATTTAATTATTATCCGGGTGTTTACCCTGGAATCCGGATAACAATTGAATTTATATGGGGTTTTAAGGATCCGTGAACTAAAAGATACAAAAGGTTTGGATTGAGGAAAACAAGAGATAAAGACTCAATGTTTGCTGTTAAAGTAAATAATCGCAGAATATAATATTGCTTAGAACAATTGTGCTTGATAGCGTACAAGAATTGAGAGAGATGGTACTGTCGTGTAATGGTTTCCGATCCCCTCTTTATGGGGTCTTCTCCCCTTTTATACATTCTGATTAAGGGTAAAAATAAGGTAGGCAAATTAATTACATCGTGGATCCCTGTAATTACGCCTTAATGGCCTGAAGTGGTTGAGAAAATCACGTTTGGGCGAGATATCCGGCGACGCTTGGTTATCCGTTACGAGTCCAGCTTTCGACCTTGTGTGTTTCTCCATCCGGTGGTGACTCATATCGAGCTCTGCAACGGTCTCGAAATGACTCGACCTCGGTTGTTGACGTGGCCGTCGTTCTACCTTGCATCCAGGTCGGGTTCGATGGCCCCGACTTGCCCCGGACCGGACCCAACCCGGTCGGGCTCAAGCAAAAAGGGTATCACCCAATACATGCATAGATAATTCGGCCGACACTACAATAACATACTACTACAATAAATACGACGAATTAGAAAAATGAAGACTGGTCAAGGTAAAATGTCAAAATCAAACTATACATACATACCCAAAAAGAAAAAGGTAGAATAATTTTTTCTACTACAGGCTACAGCTCGGCAATGTGATAGCCGGCGGCGATGCAGAACGACCACGTTTTATAAGCTTGCTTCACGAATCGGAGAAGCCAGAGGAGTTAAGTACAAAGGCGAGTCGCATGGAGTGGAAAATGGCGTCGTTTGAATTTGATTCTCCATAGGATGATTAGGACAATCGACCGTCACAGCCAACTCCGGCAACTCTTCGACGGCCAATTTCCGCACCGGAGACGTCATTTCAGGCGACTCTTCGTCGTTCTTCATACACTGCTGCAAGCTCATACTCTTATTAGTCTTCTCAGCAGAAGAACACAGTGACTTCTCAGACTCCAAATCTTCTTTTTCCTCTTCCTTAATTGTAAAGAGAAATCTCGAAGGCCCATACATACCCTGAAGCTTCAACAAATCTATAAGCTCCATTTCTGCCGGTTCTGGAGATGACACGGCGGAGTTCGGACTCGGACACGAGTTGGGTCCGACCCGAGAGAGATTACACGTTTGTGTTCTAAGGCAGAAGAAAAGGAGAAGCTCTTTCGAAGTCGAAGAATGGGAAGAAGTAAACGACGAATTAGGAGAAGAAGAGGAGATCTCGGAAGGTTCTAGAACATTTCTGTGGACATGAATCGGAATGTTACGGCGGAAATTGCGGCGCCGCCAGAGTATAAAGAAGAGCTGAGCAAACAGAGCTAATAATGAGATCACGAATATTATCGTTAGAGCTGTGCCCAGGGGGCTTAGAACACCAAAAGTCATGGCAATAAACAGTTGTTTGCCGGTGAGTTGTCGCCGGCGACGGAGGATACGTAGGGTTTTTGGAGTATCGGACTTCAATTAAAAGTTGCAAGTTTCTAACGGATAGATTTCTTGGAAATTGAGAGAGAGATGAAAGAAAAAGTTAAAAGCTTAGGAAGAGAGGACGAGAACTAGGTGACGAGGACCGGCTTTTTAAAACTTTGAAATAAATGCGTGGAACTTTCCTCTTGATACTTATCGAACACAAACTAATATTTTCGTTTTATTTTCTAATGTATGAGCATATACTTAAATCTCTCTATAATAATTTTATTTGCTTTGAATTTTTTTTTGCTGTTATAATAATATATTATTATTAAAAGATATATATTACTCCATTTATTTACTTTTACTTTTCTATTATAATTTGCGTCAAGAAAATAAGCGAGATTGAAAACTATTGCAACAATTGTAGTATTTGATTTCAAATAATATGTGTGTACAATCTTTATGAATCCTCTGATTCTTCTTTCTAATAATAAATAAATTAAGGGTCTTTGAGCTAGATCTTGAATCTACATTTGTTGCCACGAATGATGATCTTGAATTCAACTAGCGCGAACTTTGATTTGAACTCGTACTCCTTGAACCTTAATTTGTTCTTCGTTCTTAAGCTTGAACTTGATTGCTTGAAGCTTGAAATTTGTAGAGAAATTTGCGGTGTTTGATCCACGAGCTCTCTCTTGCTTCTTGTTATAACTTTTGGTATCATTCTGAGTTATGAAGACCCCTATTTATAGTTGTGGGAGGGAAGAGTTGTGATGAGAACAAACTCGATCTTTCTGACCAATCCGATTGAAGAGTGACAATGCCGCATTTGATTGGCGAGAACATGGCACTTGCACATGTGGCACAGTTTCATTGGCACGCCTTGTCATTGTGATACGTGGCACGATCCTATTGGCTCTTCCTTTTGACTTGGTGTGCCATGTAATTTGACTTGTGGCACTAAACTAGGCTCTAGGAAGATTACATTTTGGGCACAATGAAGTGGGCTCATTACTTGGGTTGGATCTATATAATTAATTTAATTATATTAGCCCAAAATATTTTGTTTGGACTAGAATATCTTGAATTTAAAATATGGTTTAAATTATTTTATGGATTTTTCCAATAAATTTTGCATGCCTACAAATATCCTCTATGTCATAACTTGTCTGGATACAGATATATCGAACTTGAGACGAGGCTCGAAGTACTTGTGTAGCCAACAATCTTCTTAAAAGACTCTTGCTTGACTCCATTTCTCACGGAAAGCAAGTTACATGTGTTCCGCAACAACCATTTTGCTCGCCTTCCAGATAATAAACTTCTCTGAATAATGTTTTGCAACAATTTTACGCCCATCAAGTTTAGCCAGCTTTGACTTAGGGAGAAGAAAAAACGAATGACTTGGAACCTAAAGTCCTTCACTTTTATGTTTGGCTTTAAAGACTTGGGAATCAATTTTTCTCAAACAACATATTCTTCTCTATTTGATATTGTTTTTGGAAGCCAGAAGTCCATGTCAGCTAATTGGATTGACCCATCCCTTTTTCACTTTTATTCGGACGGTAACTTCCTTTGCTTTTAGTTAGCTGAAAGAGTTCCTCTCAAACTCAAACTGTTAAAAGAAGCGATTCTTCAGAGATCGATATCAATAGATTTAGAACTTCAGCACTAGTTGTATTCAACTAATGTAGAGAAAAGATATCGATGCTTTTGAGATCATCTCCAACCCTAACACCAAATTTCACATTAAAATAAAATAACATCAAATTTACGTCAACCATTACACTATTTTTTACAGCAAAAAATAATATTTCTTCTCTCTTCTATATTATATTATTATCTTCTATTTAAATTTTATTTTTTATTTAAATACTATCTTTTTTCTTTTTTCCATATTCATTATATATAATTCACATTCACCACTTATATAATCATTTATTACAAAATTATTTTAAAGGATAAATCAATTAAAAGTGAAATCATTGATAAAAGATAATTAAATAAATATTACATCATAGTCAAATTTAATTTAAGTACCACATAAATATTTAACTTTCGCCTCTTTTCTCCTATAAATGCTCGATTAATGCATTACGAAGTGCGAAATGCGCATCTTTATCCTTAATTTTTTTGTGTCAAGCTAAAAAAATTTCAAATCGGTGATCTTCATCTACTGTCATTTCTACCGTAGGAGCTGGACATTCACGTGCATCTTCAATTGGTGCATTAAGATCACGCTCGTCCTCAATTATCATGTTGTGCAGTATAATACATGTGGTCATTATATCATGTAGCACCTCTTTTCTCCAAAAACGTGACGGACCTGCAACAATTGCAAAACTCCGAATGCATGTTCAACATCTTTTCGACATAATTCTTGTTTCATTACAAAATATCTCTTCTTTGCTGAACGTGCTCCCGAATAGTATTTTTATTATAATGTATTTTTATTTTATGTATTGTTAATTTTCTTTTTAAAATTTTAGTTTTCACTTTTCAATTTTAGCACATTAGATATCTTACATTTGCATTTTATATTTTCAAATAATGGTTATATTTCTTTTTATACAATTATAATAATAATAAAATTAACTTATAATTTATATAAATATAATATATACAAAAATTAATATATCAAAAAATAGGATATAAAATTAAAATTATAAAGATCTTAATATAAAAATTAATTATATACACAATATATGATAAATTAAAAGTCCAAAAAATAAATGGATGAATAAAATAATAATAAATTAAATTTGGTGTGATGAATAGTGTTGCGCCAAATTTGGTGCAACACTATTCATGCACTATAATGGTGCAAGATTTGGTGTTCCATTAGAGCACAAAAACAAGATTTGGTGTTCCATTTGGTCCAAGATTTGGTGTTCCATTGGATTTGGTGCAAAATTTGGTGCAGCCTTGGAGATGGCCTGACAACTCTATAAATAGAGTTCGTTCTCTCATAACCTTCCCTACTTGTGGGATTATACTAGGTTGTTGTTGTTGTTGTTGTTCTCTCATAACCTTCAACCTCAAGTTCTTTCTGTTGCTTGGAACTGTGTAGCGATGAAAAAGTAATTGAGAGGTTGGAGCAAATAAGCTTACACCAAATATTGTAACTCAAATTAAAACATGAGATCTCCAGATTGTTATGCTCATGCCTCAACCATTCTGACATGAAGAACTAACACTAACATGAACATACATAGTATATATTCTGAAATGCATAAGCAATTGAAAGCCACAATATGCTATAAAATGACAAGTTAGTAGAATAGGCGTGGAGAGAAACAGACTTCGGCCCTTCCTTTGTCCCCTGTGAACCCTGAACCACATTTGTGTGAACCCAATTTGACGGGGCACGGAGTATAAAAAAAGAGAGAAGACTTTTGAAGTTGTAGTGTAAAATGAGGCACATATATTTTGTGTGGCTATAAATCATTGCATAAAGGTAATTTGTTTCCAAATAAGGAAAGGGGTCATTCTTTTTAGCACGGACTAAAAAGAAAATAGGTTCACATAAATTGAAATGGAGGGAGTAGTTCAATTTTCTACTCCCTCCGTTCCAATTTATGTGAACCTATTTCCTTTTTGGTCCGTTCCAAAAAGAATGACCCATTTCTAAATTTAGAAACAATTTAGCTTAGACTTTCAATCCTTCCCTTAAATAAGAAGCTTTTATAACCACACAAATACTCTGGACCCCCTTTTGACGGGCAAATAGATTTACAACTGGTCGTTCAAAAATAGCTCAATTTCAAAAGTAATTAAAATTTAGTCACTTTTTATATAAAGATAAATCTTTGCAAAAACACTGTTCAAAACCCGAAAAATACTCCAGTATATTATGCTGGAGTTCCAGCATAAGTATACTTGAACTCCAGCATATTATACTGGTCCAGTATATTATACTAGATCCAGCAAAGTATACCGGTCCAGCATAATATGCTGGAGTTCATACACAAGTGCACCGAACTCTAGTATATTATGCTGGACCGGTCTCTATTGCAGCAAAATAGTGGTTATTTTTCATTGACTTGTTAAACGCTGGTTATTTTTGATTGACCAGTCCGAAAACTGGCTATACCGTGCTATTTTTACCCTTTTGACTTGTTTAGGACGACAAACTCAAAAGGTTTTATTTTTTCTTAAACTAGGTGCCCAGTCAACATAAATTGGAACGGTGAGAGTATTATTTGCTTCTATTCTATATTCTGCACCAATGAAGTGAGAGTTTGTATTTTACAATCAAATGCAATTCGACATTCATTCTGAACCTGCAGAAGAGACGGGCTTTCATGCCAGAACAAATTAAAGAAGCTTGCTATGTTGATCTAAGTTTCAACAGAGGCTGTTTTTGACAACTTAAAATCAGGAGACTAATCAATTATCACCTTTCAACAGACATGAAGACACATGGGTCTTATTTGACTTGAAACTTGTTTGATGAATTGACAATTCAGGATTCTGCTTTTTACAAATTCTTACCACTGTACACATTCTGTACAGTTCTCAACTAGTTTAATTGAATGGAAAGAAAGCAGGTTTGAGACAGATGTTAGAGGTACGTGCTTGTCTTATTAGATGCAAGTACACGCTTAATACCAAAAAAAAAAAAAAAAAAAAAAAAGAGAAAGATTGATAAGTTGAAGGCAAAAAGAATCATTCTATTTTCTCTTTCCTCATCATTTAAGCTTGCATTAACCTCAAGATAGAAGAGTCATATAAATCAATTTTGAGATTACAAAAAACTAGCATATTATACATTACATCGTATTCCCAGTTGAAGAGATATACCAAATACCAACTGACTACTTGAAAAAGAGAGTTCAGTTTTTCACCTCCACACAGAGGCACAGACTTTACAGCATCTCCTCTCTATGGAACCAGAAGCGGCGTCAAATATTGCTCTAAGATAAATAGCTCCTGCGATTCCATGATCAAACACATATCTTGCTCTGTGATGTATTCTCGCTAACAAAATTGTTTGATACCAACTTCGGTTAATGCTTGGGGCTTTAAAGTTTCTATTCTGCATCTTCAGTCCCCTAGAAGCTTCTGTTTTTTGGATGTGTTCATGTAAGGCCTTATGACCCACTCGGTTTGAGCTTCATCCTGATCCATCGTTCCTAGTTTTATCTACAGAAAGGAAACAAGTAACTTGATCAGACACGACAGATGGAACACTGATCA